GCCAACGCCACCCACGACAGCGTTTCGTGGCCCCATAGGGGGCTCCACCGAAAGCTCCAGTGGCAGGGTCCACATGCGTCAGCGCCACCCAGGACAGCGTTTCGTGGCCCCATAGGGAGCTCCACCGAAGTCTCCACTGGCAGGGTCCGCGTGCGTCAACGCCACCCAGCACAGGGTTTCGTGGCCCCATATGGGGGCTCCACCGAAAGCCCCAGTGGCAGGGTCCGCATGCGTCAGCGTGGCCACATAGGGAGCTCCACCGAAGGCTTCAGTGGCAGGGTCCGCATGCGTCAACGCCACCCAAGGCAGCGTTTCGTGGCCCCATCGGGAGCTCCACCGAAAGCTCCAGTGGCAGGGTATGCCCGCGTCAATGCCATGCAGGACAGCGTTTCGTGGTCCCATCGGAAGCTCCACCGAAGGCTCCAATGGCAGGGTCCGCGTGCGTCAGCGCCACGCCACCAACGACAGCGTTTCGTGGCCCCATAGGGAGCTCCACCGAAGGCTCCAGTGGCAGGGTCCGCATGCGTCAACGCCGCCCAGGACAGCGCTCCGTGGCCCCACATGGAGCTTCATCGAAGGCTCCAGTGGCAGGGTCCGCATGCGTCAACGCTACCCAAAACAACGTTTCGTGGCCCCATAGGTAGCTCCACCGAAAGCTCCAGTGGCAGGGTCTGCATGCGTAAACGCCACCCGGGACAGCGTTCCGTGGCCCCATAGGGAGCTCCACCGAAGGCTCCACTGGCAGGGTCCGCATGCGCCAGCGCCACCCACGGCAGCGTTTCGTGGCCCCATAGGGAGCTCCACCGAAGGCCCCAATCGCACCGTTCGCATGCGTGTCCCCCATCCAGGACGGCGTTTCGTGGCCTCATAGGGAGCTCCACCGAAGGCCCCAGTGGCACCGTTCGCATTTGTTTTTCCCAACCAGGGACAGCGTTTCGTGGCCCCATAAGGGGGTTCCTCCGAAGGCCCCAGTGGCACCGTTCGCGCGCGTCTCACCGACCCAGGACAGTGTTTCGCGGCCCCATGGGAAGCTCCACCGAAAGCTCCACTGGCGCCGTTCGCATGGGTCTCCCCCATCCAGGACAGCGTTTCGTGGCCCCATGCGGAGCTTCACCGAAAGCGGCAGTGGCGCAGTTCGCATGCGTCTCTCCTGCTCATGACAGCGTTTCGTGGCCCCATAACGAGCTCCAGCGAAGGTCCCAACGGCGCAGTTCGCATGCGTCTCCCCCACCCAGGACCAAACAGGGCATCAACACCAGGCCAAATTATCCCAAGATGGCCCCTAAAAGGCCCCCAAGGCAACCCAGGAGGGCCTCTGGAGAAGTCTCAGACGGCGCCTGGTGGCGTTTGGAAGTTTTCCGTGCCAAGACCTGCTTCATTTTGGGGCGAAGTGGTGGTCAGCGGGCGCGCAGGACGCAGCCTGGGCCCTCCGGCCGGCGGAATGAGCAGGGCGCAGGGAGGAGCCCAGGAGGGGCTTGCAGGGGACACGAGAAGTGCGCAGGTTGACGAATTGAGCGCCAACAGTCCTGGGAGACCGTGGTGCGGAGATCTGACATACCCAGTGGGGCGGCGGATCGCTTCGATCATTCTGCCGGCCCACCCAGCGTGGCTGGGTCGTGGACAGGAGGAGTATTTGGGAGGCTCCTTGGAGTCTGTCGGAAGGTCTCTCAGAGGCATTTTTGGAGGCTTCTGGGGCTGCCTCTGGGAGCCTCTTTGGAGGACCTTCGGGGCCGTCTTGGGGCGCCATCGTGTCGGGCAGGGGGCCTCTTGCGGGCCTCTTGAGCCCTCTTGGGGGCCTCTTGAGCCTTCTTGGGGGGCCTCTTGGCTCGTCTTGGGGCCCTCTTGGGCAGTATGGGGGACCTCTTGGGAGCTTCTTGGGCTGTTTCAATTACTTAGGAACCCTGCTCTCGCCAGATACCACCAGGATCCCCGTTCTGATGTTCCGCCTGTCCGACCTGCCCTTTCAGGTCCGCCTGCCCGACCCGCCCGTTAATGACTCACTGCCCTGCCCGTCCGTTAGGACGTGGCGAGAACGCCCAAACCTGGCAAAACCACAGGACAATCACTGACATTTGTCTCGTGGGGTCCTCGTGGGATTGCTCTTGGAGGACACTTGCAGTGTCTTGGAGGCCTCTCGGACTGTCTGGAGGCTATCTTGGGCGTCTAGGACCGATCGTTCGGCGATTCGACCGTCTTGGGGACCTCTTGGGGCACTCCTGGCCCAGTTTGGGGGGCTTTCTGCGGCTCTGGGACCCCCGTTGGATGGCATTCTGACTCGGGACCCTCCCTGGCACCCCCCGCGAGACCCCCCCCCCCAAGGCACGGAAGTGGTAACAAGGAAGGGGCCTCATGCCGACTTAACCACGACGTTCTCCAATCTCCTTGTTCCTCAGTTTCCTTGGGACTGGCGGCGACGACGACGACGACGATGACGACGAATATGACGACGACGACGAATGAAATGGCAAAGCGTCTCACACACTCCGAAGGGTCGGCGGATGGAGTGCTCCGAAATCGGCTCGGTGCCGCCATGTGTTTGCGCCCACTGAAGCCGTGGGCGGAGCTCCTCATGGGGCCACGAAGCGTGTGACGGGTGTGCCGAAATGGGCGCGGTGCCACCATGCGGTCGCGCCAATTCGGTCCGCAGGTGGAGCCCCCCTGCGGGGCGACGACACGTGTGATGGGTGTACCGAAATTGACGCGCGGAAGACATATTCGGGGAGATTCAAGACTCGAGCACGCCGGAACTCGGGTTTACAGGCGGTTTTGACGAGCGCATCCCGGATTTTGACAGTGCAGTTTTCGTGGGATGTCTGCAGCGGGAGCTGGCGTCAACTTTCAGGCTGGGTCTCGTCAATTTCATGATGGCACCGTCAGCCCAACCCGAGTCCCCCGAACCCGAGTCTTTCGTCTCTCCGGCGGATGAAACCTAGGACTCCTAGATAGGGTCGGATTAGATGGTGTCTGAGGATCGCGCTGCATCGCCGATACATCGCCGATGCGGCTCGATGTGGGGCTCGATTTGCTTCACGTCCACGTCGCCGATGCATCGCCGACGTCGACGATGCATCGCCGGGGCATGACCGATGCGTCGTCGATGCATCGTCGATGCGGCGCGATCCTCCGACCCCATCTACTCCGACCCCATCCAAGATGAAAGAGGAAGGGGAGGATGAAGAAAAGGGGAACGCGCGCGCTGCTGATCCAAAGAGAGGGCCCAACTCACACAGGATAATCGAGAAACAGAAAGCGGGACATACATATGTATGCATATATGCATGCATGCATGCATGCATGTATGTATGTGTGTATGTGTATGTGTATGTGTATGTGTATGTGTATGTGTATGTGTATGTGTATGTGTATGTGTATGTGTATGTGTATGTGTATGTGTATGTGTATGTGTATGTGTATGTGTATGTATGTATGTATGTATGTATGTATGTATGTATGTATGTATGTATGTACATATGTATGTATGTATGTATGCATGCATGTATGTATTTATGTATGTATGTATGTGTATGTATATGTATATGTAAATGTATATGTATATGTATATGTATATGTATATGTATATGTATATGTATATGTACATGTATATGCATATGTATATGTATATGTATATGTATGCATGTATGCATGTAGGTAGGTATGTGATGTGATGCGATGCGATGTGATGTGATATGCTGTGATGTGATGTGATGTGATGTGATGTAATGTATGTATGCATGCATGTATGTATGCACGTATGTTTGCATGCTTGTATGTTTGCATGCATGTATGTATGCGTGTGTATGTATGTGTAGGTATGTATGTATGCATTTATGTATGTATGTATGCATGTATGCATGTATGTATATGTAGATGTATATGTATATGTATATGTATATAGATATATATATGTATATGTATATGTATATGTATATGTACATGTATATGTATATGTATATGCATATGCATATATATATATATATATATATGTATATATATGTATATGTATATGTATATGTATATGTATAGGTATATGTATATGTATATGTATATACATATGCATATGTATAGGTATATGTATGTATGTATGCATGCATGCATGTATATATGTATGTATGTATGCATTTATGTATGTGTGTATGCATGCACGCACGTATGCATGCATGTACGTATGTACGGATGTACGTATTGACGTACGTACGTACGTACGTACGTATGTATGTATGTTTGTATGTATGTATGTATGTATGTATGTATGTATACATGTATGTATGTATGTATGTATGCATGTATGTATGGATGTATGTATGTATGTATGTATGTTTGTTTGTATGTATATATATATATATACACACTTATATCTATATATATAGATATAGAAAGAGAGAGCGAGAGAGAGGCAGAGAGAGAGAGAGAGAGAATATATATATATATATATATAGAGAGAGAGAGAGAGAGAGAGAGAGAGAGAGAGCGTGAGTCCATCCGAGCCCACATCGGGCCATCTGACTGTGTCCGAACCCACATTAGGCTTAGCTCACTGGCGCCTGGATATTGCTTCCGTTTGCGCCCTCTTGGCCGACCCAGGACGGCGTACACACCAATCCTGAGCCCAGCATCGGCCTGGCCAGGGATCGGTGCACTTGTGTGGTTGGCGCCCTCCTATCCCAGGTCGGGAGGCCGTCACCTGGCAGTCGCCGCACTTCCCCCCCGCGCGAGACAGCGTGCGTGGGGGGATCGGAGGAGGAGGAGAAGGAGAAGGAGGAGAAGGAGGAGGGAGGGAGGAGGAGGAGGAGGAGGAGGAGGAGAGGAGGAGGGAGGAGGAGGAGGAGAGGCGAGGAGGAGAGTGAGCGGAGGAGGAGGGAGGAGGAGGAGGAGGAGAGGAGGAGGGAACCAGAGGAGTAGAGGAGGATAGGTATTAGGAGGGAGGGAGGGGGATGGGGGCCGAGAAGAAGGGGGGAGGAGGACGGAGGGAGCAGGACAAACGCCCCCCCCCCCCCCGGGAGGCCGCCGTCTGGGAGTCGCCGCACTTCCCCTTCACCCCAGGGAGCTGATGCCTTTCGCCCCGGCGGGCGCGGCAGCGCGGGGGCGTCGCCCACCGATGTGTTTTTCAAACCGGCCCCAGCCTCGTGCCGGCCCGTCGGCAGTGGCGGCGGAACAAGGGCCTCGGCTCGTCGTCGTCGTCGTCGTCGGCGTCGTCGATGGCGGTAGTGGATTTGCACCCCCTTTACTCCTCAGTGCTGCGCGTCTCGAGTCTCCAGCCCCCAAGTTTCGACTCGGGAGCGCCGCGCATCTCCTCCCCTTCTTTCCTCCTCATCTCCCTGCCGCTGCTCAACGCATGCCCATATTGGTACACCCCTCACATTTTCCGTGACCCCATAGGAAGCTCCAAGTACGGCCAAGGCGCTGAAATAAGGACTGCTTTGGGTTCAGAAGGGGCTCGCTGTTCCTTAGGTCCTTCCGTGGTTGTTCCTCTAGCCCTCCTCGTGCGCCCAGGCGCTGTTGGCGCCAAAGAGGGGCCTCGTTCCTTATTCAGCGTTCCTTATTTCAGCAGCCCGACTTTACGGCCGCAGTGGCCGGTCCGCATCGCGGCGCCGCGCCCATGTCAGCACACCTTTCGCACGTTTCGTGGCCCCCGTAGCGAGCTTCACCTACGGCCGCAGTGGGAGGCTCCGCGTGGCGGCGCCGCCCACTTTGGCGCCCCTCTCACGAGGATCGTGGCCCTCTAGGGAGCCTCACCTGGGGCTCCAGTGGGAGGGTCTGCATGGCGGCGCCGCCAGTTTCCGCGCACTCCTCCCATCGGGAGCTCCACCCACGGCCCCTATGGGAGGGTCTGCATGGCGGCGCCGCCCATTTCGGAGCACTTCTCGCGAAGATCGCGCCCACGTGGGGGGTTTCCAGTTCCACCTGCGTACGGTCTGCCTACCCTGCCCCCCACCTCGTCACCAGATCGGAGGGCACTGGGCGAGCGGCGGATCAGGACCTCTGCATCGATTTTCTTCCATCGCTTCTGCCCACGCACTCCCCAGCCGTCACCGCCGACCCCAAGCTCAGCTACCCTGAGGCGCTCGCCGCCTTCGTCGCTGGATGGGTCGATGGCCGCCTCTCGGGCTGGAAGGGGACGGTCATGCGGGAAGCGACGCGACCTCGCCGCCCTGCCGGTCAGCCAACAGCCCAGGCCACCAGCGCGCAACCTGCGCTGGGGTGCGGAGCCCCCGCGCGAGCCGCCCGCCGCCCAGGTTGGCGCCCCCGTCGGTGGCCAGGCGCCCCTCGCCCATCGGGGGGGGGGGCGACCGCGCTGCCCTACGCCGACTGGCGGCCCTCTCTACCCAAGCCACCCGCGGCTCTCTTGATCAATAGTCCCGTCGACTGACACCTCCACCGCTGAGGTGCCCCGCCCGCCGCGGCGGTGCCTGGGCTGTGGTTCAGGGGCCTCTTGGATGCACATGAGGGTCTTCTGGTATGCCTCTCGTGGGACTCTTGGGAGGGTCTTGGGGGCTTGTGGGGGGCCTCTCTGAGGCCTCTTGGGGCCTTGAGGACCTCTTGGGGCGTCTTGGGGGACTTCGGGAGCGTCTGGGGTGTTTTCGGGGCCATCTTTGGGCAGAATGCTCAAAATGTTCGCTCACGTTCCCCCCCTCTTGGGCCCCTCTTGGGTGCCTATTGAGCCTTCTCGGGGGCCTCTTGGGCCGTCTTGGGGGGCCCTCTTGGGGCCCTCCTTGGGGCCCCCTGGGCACTTCTGGGGAGGAGCTTTGGGCTTATTGGGCCGTCTTGGAGCAATAAATGCTTCAAGACCCTGAGGATAATCAGTGAGTTTGGCCTCCTAGTGCCTTCTTGGGGGTGCTTTTGGGCCACCTTGAAGCTTCTTGGGGGGCCTCTTCGGCCGTCATGAAGCCATCTTGAGCATCTGGAGGCGACTCGGCCATCTTGGGCCGTCTTCGCGGCCCCCTCGGTCCCTCTGGGCCCGTCTTGGAACCCTCCCGGCTTCCAGAAGACGCACGCGACACACCCCAGGAGCTGCCAGCAATTCCCGGAGCGCCCCGGGAAACTGGGTGTCCGACCGGGTGTCCCGGACCTTACGAATCTAGAATCCTGGCAGCAGCATCACAAGTGTGAGCCTTGGGGCACTCCACTTCGTGCCAAGGGCACGGTGGCGGATTCAGGCTCTTCCTGTTTGCTTAATCTGATCTCGACAGCTTGGGCATTACACTGCTTGGTTTATTCTGCCTCCCTCAATTTTTGTTTTTTGTTGTTGTTGTTGTTGTTGTTGTTGTTGTTGTTGTTGTTGTTGTTGTTGTTGTTGTTGTTGTTGTTGTTGTTGCTTTTTGATATTGCACCATTTTGGGCTAAACTTGTCGCCCACCTGTTCGGGTTATTCTCATAACTGGTTGGCTCACCTACCTTGGGCCTTTCTCCTTGTGCTTTCGCGTCAGTCCACACATCGTTGGGTTGGCCTGTTCAGTTTTTCTTTCATTACCGTCTTGAGAGGGCGGAACGCATCGACTGGCCTGCCGTTGCGTGGCGGCTGCCGATTTTCTAGGGTTCGGTTAGTTTCTTAAGCTTCTAGGGTTTCGTGTTCATACCCGACATTCGTTTAGTTGAACAAGTGCCTGTCGTCACGCGTTTGGCGTGTCGTTCTCCGGCCTCCGCCCTCTTTCTGCAAGGCGTGATGCTTCACATGGCGATGCGCCAGCTCTCGTGGCACAGGCACTCCGCTTTCCATGAGCCTGTCATCGCGCATGGCTCTATTTCTCTCTGCTCCTGCTGCTCCTCTGCCTCCCCCATGGCTCCATTCCTCTCTGCTCCTGAGCTCCCTCCTCCTCCTCCTCCTCCTCCTCCTCCTCCTCCTCCTCCTCCTCCTCCTCCTCCTCCTCCTCCTCCCCCTCGCCCTCGCCCTCGTTCTCTCTGCTCCTGCTGCTCTTGCAGCTGCCCTCTGTCCTCGGCCTCCCGCTGCTCCCCGCCTCCCTCTCTCGCCGCCCTTCTCTCCCTGGGGCCCCGGCGCCCTGCCTCCCTCCCCTGCTTTCCGTCCCCCCTGCTCACACCCTAGGCGATGCTCAAGAAAACTCAAGCTTTCGGCCAGAGTCTCGATTATTCTTAAAATGTGTCAGTGCAAATCCTAAGATTTGAATCGAAGTTCTGTGCTCTTATTCAATTTCTGAGACTGAATTTCTTAACCCATGATTTCTTAAGCATTTCGCAGGGTGTACCTCCCTCGCTCCGTTCCGCTTCCGCGCGTCCGTCGCCAACGGCTTCAAGCTTGTGCGCGTCGCCCAAAAGCGACCCCCAGCCTGCAGCATCTGGCAGTGCCATGGCGCAGGTTACCAAGGCCAGCCGTTGGGGGGGAGGACAGACCCGGAGGGCGGGGAATGAGCAGGTGGGGTGGGCGGGGGCGGAGGACGATGGGTGGAGGGAGATGACGAGAAGGAGGAGGAGGAGAAGGAGGACGATCAGGAGGGTGACTGAGCAGGAGGAGGAGGAGGAGGAGGAGGAGGAGGAGGGGGATGTCAACGAGGAGGATGAGGATAGGGAGGAGGACGAGGAGAAGGAGAAGGACGAGGATAAGGAGGAGGATGACGGATGGATGACGAGGACAGAGCTGGCGGAATGCCAAGGGCCAGTAGGAAGAGGAGAACACCCCGGGGAGGGGGACGATACATCGAAAGGCGAAGGAGAAAGATGAGTGGGAGGGAGAAGGACGAGGAAGTCGATGGATAGACGGATGAGTGAAAAGGAGGGGGGGGAGATGGGGGAGGCGGGAGGATGAGGTAGATACTGAGGACGATGAGGGGGGACAAGGATACTTAAAAAGGAGGAGGAGAAGGAGGAAGATGTTACGGAGTGAGCGGGGTTGAGGTGTGTGCGTCGTATATGTAATGATGATGGTGGTGGTGGTTGTAATGATGATGATGACGTTGACGACGGAGATTATGAGGAAGATGAGTTTGATAATGACGATGAGGAGGATGATGTTGACGATGCGGAAGAGTATGAGACTACGGATGACGATGACGATGATGACGATGACGAGTGTGATGACGATGCTGACGATGCCGATGACGATGATGATGACGCTGAGGCTGCAGATGACGACGATGCTGATAATGATGATGATGATGGTAATGAGGACGATGACGAGGCTGATTTTGCTGCTGCTGATGACGATGATGCCGATGACGATGACGATGCTGATTATGATTATGATTATGACTATGATTATGATGATGACGATGATGCTGATGATGCTGATGATGACGACGATGCTGATGATGATGATGACGAGGACGAGGCTGAGGCTGAGGCTGAGGACGATGCTGACGACGATTATGATGACGGTGATGATGATGCTGATGCTGATGCTGTTGATGATGATGATGCTGGTGATGATATTAATGATAATTATTATTGATGATGAGGGTGTATGATGCTGACGAGAATGGGGCTGAGGCTGAGGCTGAGGCTGATGATGATTCTGTTGATGATGGTCATGATGATGCTGCTGATGATGATGACGACGATGACGATGCTGATGATGATGCTGATGATGATGATGATGATGATGATGATGATGATGATGATGCAGATGATGCTGATAATGCTGATGATGAGGCTGTGCTGCGTGTGACGATGATGACGATGACGATGACGAGGATGACGATGACGATGACGATGACGATGATGATGATGATGATGATGATGATGATGATGATGATGATGATGATGATGATGGGGATGCTGCTGACGCTGATGATGCTGATGATGACGATAATGCTACTGCTTCTGCTGGTGATGACCATGGTGATGTCGATGACGACGGAGACGACGATGACGACGACGACGACGACGATGATGACGATGATGATGATGATGATGATGATGATGACGTTTAATTGTCATTGTGATTCTATGATGATGCTGATGATGATTATGATGATGTTGATGATTATGATGATGCTGATGATAATGATGATGCTGCTGATGATGATGCTGATGATGATGACGATGATGATGAGGATGATGCTGATTCTGATGATGATGCTGATGATGATGTTGATGATGCTGCTGCTGATGATGATGCTGATGCTGATGATGATGCTGTTGATGATGTTGATGTTGATGAGGATGCTGATGAGGCTGCTGCTGCTGCTGCTGCTGCTGATGATGATGATGATGATGATGATGATGATGATGATGATGATGATGATGATTATGATTATGATTATGATTATGGTGATGATGATGGCGATGATGATTATGATGATGCTGATGCTGCTGATGATGCTGATTATGATGAGGATGCTGCAGCTGATGATGAGGATGATGATGATGATGCTGATGATGCTGATGATGCTGATGATGATGATGATGATGATGATGATGATGATGATGATGATGATGATGATGATGATGATGATGATGATGATGATGATGATGATGATGATGACATGGTGTTGGTGGTGGTGATGATGGTGGTGATGATGATGATGATCGCAGCAGAAGGAGGTGCAGTGAGGAGGAGGAGGAGGAGAAGGAGAGGAGGAGATGAGGACGAAGAGGAGGACGAAGAGGAGGACGAAGAGGAGGACGAAGAGGAGGAGGATCATGAGGAGGAGGAGGAGGAAGAAAAAGAGGAGCTCCTGCAGCCTCCCTATCTCGGGCCCATATTGAGGCCTGTTTGGGGCATCTTGGGCGATCATGCCCCCGCAGCCTTGTTGGATGCCTCTTTGGGCCCTCTTGGGCCCGTCTCGCAGCCTCTCGGATCCTCACGGTAGCCCAAGGCGCAAAAACCATTTGTCCTTTGCTCTGCTGTGTTGTTGGAACCTCGTTTTGAATCCGTAGCGCCACGCGTCTCGTCACTCACCTCCTCCCCCTCCTCTTTCTCCTCCTCTCTCTGCTTGTGCTCTCTGACCGCGCGCCCCTTTCGGCAAATCCCTGACCTGCCTCCTGCCCCTCACAGAGAGCTTCACTTACGGCACCCGTGAGGGCGCCGGCACCTTCGCCCGTTCCGGCACGCGCCTCACACGGGTTGTGCCTCATAGGGAGCTCCACCTACGGTATCAGTGAGGGCGCCCGCATGCGGTCCCTCCGACTGTTTCGGCGCATCCCTTAAAGAGAGGCCCTCACACGGATTGTGCCCCTTCATGAGCGTCACCTGCGGCACAACGGATCGTGCCCCACACGGACCTCCCCTTACGGCACTAATGAGGGCGCCCGCGGGCGGTCTCTCCGCATGTTTCGGGACACCCTTCATACGAATCGTGCAAGAGGGAGCGTCACCTGCGGCACCGGTGACGGCGCCCGCATGCGGTCCCTCATCCTATTTTCGAACACCCCTCGTACGGATCGTGCCCCATAGAGGGCTCCGCCTACGGCACCAGAGAGGGCGCCCGCAAGTGGTTCTTCCGTTCATTGTGGCGTACCTCTAGTGATCTCCACTTTAGGCGCCAGTGAGCTCCGCCTGAGTCGCCAATGAGGGCGCTCGCATGCTGTCTTTCCGCCCATCTCGGCACCTCCACTACTGGCACCAGTGATGGCGCCCGCATGCGGTCCTCCGCTCTTTCTCTCGTGCGTCCCTGGCTGGTATTACAATTTGCGCACACGCCGCTGGCAAGGATCACACGCCCTGTTGCTGCTGAATAGCTTTCCAGTCATCCGCTGTACCAATCTTGTATATCGAGGGCGTTTCCCCGTTTCCGCGTTCTGCAGTTGTTCTTGGATCGACGGGCGCAGGTACCCCAGATCCACAGCACATTCACAAATATGTTGTGACGGTTTGGCTGACGAGGATGATGATACTTATGGTGGCGTATATATCGTATAGGTTGTGATGGTGTAGGTTGTGAGTGGGAGGATGAGGAGAACGAGGAGGATGAGGTCCCAGACGGAGCATGGGGCCACGATGATGAAGAGGTGGATGAGGAACATTGTGTTGACGATGCTGCTGGTGATGATGATGACGATGATGATGATGATGATGATGATGATGATGATGATGATGATGATGATGATGATGATGATGATGATGATGATGATGATGATCATGCTGCTGCTGCTGATGATGATGATGCTGTTGATGATGATGATGATGATGATGATGATGATGATGATGATGATGACGATGATGATGATGATGATGATGATGATGATGATGATGATGATGATGATGATGTGATGATGATGATGATGATGATGATGATGATGATGATGCTGATGATGCTGATGATGATGATGATGATGATGATGATGATGATGATGATGATGATGGTGGTGGTGGTGGTGGTGGTGGTGATGGTGGTGCTGGTGATGGTGATGACGATGATGATGCTGCTGATGATGATGTAGATGATGATGCTGATGATGATAAGGATGAACATGGTGGTGGTGGTGGTCGCGATGGTGGTGGTGGTTGATGATGATGGTGGTGGTCTTGATGATGCTGATGATGATGTTGATGACGTGATTTTGTTTTTGGTATGTCTTGTGTGTTGGGAGAAGGGAAGAGGAATACTGGGAATAGGGGGAGGAATCTGACGATGAGTGTGGTCATGTTGGTGCCAAGGGATGGGTCAGACACTTGATGTGCAAAGATGCTGCTCATGGCTTCAATGATTTTGGGATGGATGGACAGCCTCCTCCTCCTCTTCCTCCTCCTCCTCCTCCTCCTCCTCCTCCTCCCAAGAACCGTTTGGCTCCGTCGCCCCTTGGGAGGGGACGTGGGGTCGCGCCGAGCCTCCGCGAGGCGCTCTTGGGGCCGCGCGTTATAAGCTGTCTGGCGGCAGCTGGTGGCGGCGGGTGCCGATTCTGCGCAATCTGATGGGAGTTGAGTTTCTGAGGTCTCTGGAGGCGCCCTGAGATCCTTCGAGATGGGGCTAAATGCCTCTCGTCGGCCGCGTTCTGCCGGACGCAAGCGGGTCTCCTTCGAACGGCCTTGGTCCCGATGTTCGGCCTGCCGCCGCTGTGAGTGGGACGACCTGTTGGAGGCTCAGATTTGAGTTGGCGGTGTTCCTGCGGCGCCAAGGTGACGCAGTTCCGTGCTCCCTCCCAGCCTCGACCTCGTGGCGGTGCTGGCGGTCGAGGATGCGGCGGGCCTGGCGCAGCTCCTGGCGCTGGCGGGGCGGCTGCCGACCAGCTGCAGCGCCCAGGAGCCCCAGCGCGCGACAGTTCGGTGCCTCCCGAGCTGGCCGCGGCGTTGCGAGTCGTCGATGCCCGCGCGCAGACTGCCGCGGCCAAGGCGAAGGCGAAGGAGCCGACGCTGAACGACGCGCTCCGCAGGGCGGCTGGGAAGTGCAAGGACCTCCACAGGCGGCACCAGGCTGTGGTGGACCAGGT